CACGCCCGGTTGTGTAAATTTACTTCCGGTAGCCGTCCTAGCTCGTCCCGTCGTCCTATCTTAAGGTCCCTAATAGGGACCTTAACGGGTTCTCACATGACAATATTGTCAAAATCAAATTACCGCGTCAGACTTAATGTAAACATAGACATCGCTGACTCAATCTAATTTTTTTTCAATCTTGGGAAAGGCTACCACTTCGTTCTTAGGCTAAAACATCACTTCTTCGACAAAGCGCGATTTTTTTAAATGAACAGAGTAAGCCCTGCTACAGGTGATTGAAGAGAGAAAGAGGTAGAAACTGGCGCTCGCCGTTCGCTATCATTTGAAAGCTATCTTGACAAAACAAAATCCATAAGATAACTTCTTTTCCATTAACACCACAACTGTATAAACCATTCCAAACGACAGAACAAGAAATACATTGAAAAATACGAACACTTTGAAATGTTATTCAAGCGATGAACCGGCGTGAGGGTTTTTAGGCGATGAAAGCCAAAGTCATTGTTTTACCGAAACGTGATTTTAATTATAAACTGAAGCTAGAATCAAACGACTATTATTAAAAAAGGTTTGAATTTTTCTGGACCTTAGCGTTAGAGAAAACCCAGATAAGACACGACTTACCTCCTCGTCTTTGTCGGATCCTTTGTAGTTCGCTCATCTTTGTTGATGACCTCTTCTCGGTCTGTTTTCAGGAGCGTCTTTGTATTTCCTTCTCGCGTTGCTCTTCGCTAGATATTTGCCTTTTTACCTATGTCTTTTCTTGTTCTCCTTCGCGTTCCTTTCACCGTATTCTGCCTATTTTAGTGTCCTCTCTGACTTTCTTGCGCGTTTTTTCTCGACTCGCTTTACGTCTTTTACTTCTTGTTTTTTTTGGTCGCTCAGTCTCTTTCTTTTCATCCTATTTTCATGTAAAAAACCCTCTCTCCACGAACTTGAAACATAACAATTTCCTCCTGTTGATAAAGCTTTAGCTCTGCCGGTATTGTTGCTTTGCGAGTTGATTAAATATTGCAAAATGCTGAGAAATACTGTTCAACTTCAACCTCACTGGTTTGATTTCGGGCTCAAAACGCGGGTTGCAAATTATTTGCTTACGCGGCTTCACATCCACTAGCCCGCATGAAGCCCTCGTGCAATGCCTAGCCGTGTACCCGCGGTACGCTACACAGAAGCTCGACACTCGAGCATGCGCTCTTCATTGTCATCTGCCGGTGTCTCCTGGCGCACGCTAATGGGGTATCCAAGTTACGCGCGCAATCGCGCCTGTGCATGACCTTCTCCCTCACCCTTCCATTGCGTAATGGCTAAGATAGTGCCCGTGGTACAGTTGGCCGCGCATGCTAAAGGTAGCACCTTGTACGGTCGGTCGTACGGTCGCACGTCCAAATTTTTCCAGCCTGATGGGTTCCTACTATTTCGTATAATTATGGGACTACGCTGCGCCCGCTATTAAATGTTATTAGAAAGAAGAATCCTTCCTTTCTCGGGCGGTATGTATGAATCCATAGGAACGAATTTATTCATACAGAGCCCAAACAATCCTTTTAGTACGCTATTGGCATTTACAATGTCGGTCTGCATTTACTTTCTTCAAAATCAACGATTTACTAAAGTTGAAAACTTGCTCATTTGTTTAAAAGTGGTGCCTGTATAATTGAGCAAAACGCGGTTTTAACGCCAACTTCTCATAACTGGTCGCGAGAAAACTATTTCGGACTGAATTTTATGTGAAAAATCTTTTTTTGAAGATATTTAGCCTTCTGTAATGGCATCATTTAGTGGGCTTAAGTAACCGAGTAAGTACACGTAAATTTTGAACTCTTGTACACGACCAAATTATAGCTAATTATTAAAGAATTTGTTCATGCTTAGCGCGCGTATATCGAGTTATGGATGCACGCGGGAAGTTTGGAGAGCACGAAAAATGCGTAAGAGTAGCTCGAGGCGCAGCCGAGAGCTCTAGCTTTTCGATTGCTCTCCAAATTTCCCAAGTACATCCATAACTCGATATACGCACAGCTAAAAGCATGAGCAAATTCTTTCATAACAGAGCGACGACAAGGATCTGCGCGAAGAAGCCTTTTATTGTGATAGAGTGCAAAATTCTCACAACGCACAAAAAAGTAAACAAACGTCCCTATTGCTGGTCAGAAACACGCCACGTTTTATACTTTGGTTTGAGCGAGAAAATTTGAGCCAGTTAACTGATAACTGTGAACGAAAAGCTCAAAATTTACGGAGAAAATGGAGAAAATCAAAGTCAAAGAACTCACGTATCACTGAAAAATATTTTACAAGTCAAAGACCCGAAGTTATCAAGACAAATTCGCGAAACGCGTAACTTGCAAGTTTTTTCAGCTTTATTTTTGTTGCTTGTTGGATCAGGACCTAAATGGTCAATGCCGATAGAAAAATTGGGCAGTTCTTGGCTGGTTTCTTCCATATTTCAAAGAGAAGGAAAACTGCACTGCAGCTTAACAGGAAGGAAAATCTGAAGCCAGCTGAAAAAAAAAATGCTCACGTCATCTTATTTACGCTCGAGCGTGCGTAAATAAAGATTTTGTTCATAGTGGCTCAATAGGACTTATAAAGGGCAAGCACGCGCGCTATGTTATAAAGCAAATTATGTAGTCGTTCCGGTCCATTCTTTTGATCAGCGAAGAAATATGACCGGTCGCTCTTAAGAACTGTTACTCTAGGTTTATTTCGCATATTGCTCGCGTGATGTATGGCAGCGTTTCAAAACGTTTCTCGTACGATCTCAAATTGGCTAGTAAATAACTTGGATTATAATAATCGAAGCCCAAAATCTGTACACAAATCGGTTGGCTCCGAACATTATGTATAAATTCATTTTTAAAATTTATTTTAAAAAGTGCTCATGAAGATGACTTTTTAGATCACTTACAAAATTGGTGGTCCCCAACTCGTTTTAAAATTCTTTCAATATAATTTCTAGGAATATTGAGGAATGACTATGATCCATCAAATAATTGGTCTGTTGAAATAACGAGAGCATTTCGAACCACCTTGAACAAGAAGTCAGAAAGGCTGATGGTCGTCATTTAAGATGTTATCATTTTTCTTAGTACTCTATTTATCAGTTCTTCTTTATAAATCTACTGATCATGGTTCCTTAACGAATGGTTCAATCTTATTATTTCTACGACCGAAAGCGAACAAGAGATTTTATAGTCTTTCGTAATGAGCAAAGTGAGTGGACTGACTATCTGCTTTTGACGAGGTTTAACTTTTTTGCTTTTGTTATTTCTCTTCATTCATATTATAATAGGTTTCTATAGTTACAAGTATTCACGTATTTATTGATTTTGTTATCACTCGTATGGATACAAACTGAAATGGACTCCACTCAGTCCTATTACCATTACTTATTATCATAAAGGTAATCATGAAAAAATAAACAAGAATGCATTTTAAAAATAGCACGAAATTTTAAAAAACCTTAGTCTATATTATCAACAATCACGCGACAGAAATCTCGAAACCAAATGTTATTGTAAGTTATATTTATTGTAATATCAACGTATTTGCCTTCCTTGAACATTTTAGATGAAGTTACATTACTGTTCGTGGGAGATATTTCCTTTGCTGGCCCCATCAAATACTATGTTGACCACAAGTACCATACGTACAATGATACTTTCAATGACGTGGCTCCATTCATCAGAGAGGCGGACATTTCAGTGGGTAATTTGGAGTCGCCATTTGCCAACCAACATGTTCTTAATCACCTTTACCGAGGGAAAAAACCAGTTTTGCTATATGCCATTCCTAAAGCTGCATCAGCACTCAGGTGAAAATCATAACGGAAACTGGAAAAGTTTAAATTTACAAAAGGAAGAAATCGTTTTTAAAGAGGCCTCCACTGTCAGAACAAGCTTCCGTTAAACTGCATGGAAAATTTCTTGTGTTACGAAGATTCTAGGAAAAATTTGTGAAACAAGAATATATGGGAAAGTAAGAAAACTAGAAAGGAATACAAACAAAATGATATTTGAATTTCCCGTAACACGGCTGCCACTTTTATCATCAGACGCTGAATAATTCTTTTATGTGCTATAAGGGCACATCATCCAAAATTCCAGCTTAAATAGAACCCGTACCTTTTTTATGTCAACAGAGTTTATCTCCAAAGTTTGTTTTTTTTATAATTTAAGGACGATTTGTTCTACAGTGGAGTTTTCCTTAGAGGGTGCAGAATTTTGTAATCTCATTCTACTATGAAAGTGTGGGGTAATGCATTTGAGCTCCTCTTTTCGTTCGAGCTGCATTAAACCAACATCCAACCCATTTGTGCCGTAAGTAAACCGTTCAACGATATAAAGAGAGTCTAAAGCTGACGAGCATAAGTTTTTAGTTATTCCCTCTGACAACGCTCGAAACGTCAGCTTTATAAACTCTTTACGGTGGCCAATTAACATCGTCAACTCAGTCGATCAAACCAAATCATCTTGTTATATCCTGCCACAGACAAAGCAGCGCAGTTTATTTAGAAATTTACCCCCTTTATTCATTTTTAATAACATTCAATGACTGTGAATAAAATTATATGAAAATCATATATGTGAGCTGCGGTTTTTACACTAATTAAGAAGTGGTGAAAATAAGGCCTGTGCGGGATTTGAAAATTTATTTTCGGTATTTGAAATTTCTGTTCGCCTTATTTTCACTAGTGCTTAAGTAGTGTTCATCATTGCCAAGATCGCCTTCACCTTCAGTATCGATTCTTTTAATACCGTCTGTTGTATCTCGAGATGAGCAACAGCGTGAAGAAATGATTCTATGTTCAAAATAACATTTGAATCTAAGACTGATCTGAGATCATTATCGTAAGGTTTGCATTACATCAGTTAAAAAAATAAAACAAAACAAACGATATCAAAAAATTAATAAATAAACAGGTGCAAATACATTGATTCCGCCCGCCTATTGCTTGGCCTGAAGTGAATCTGATCAATACTAATTAAGTAAATCCCAAACTGAATTTTAAAAAAATATAGAAACAAATTTCATTAATACGATAAAAGAATTTCATAACATGGAAGAATATGAAAGTAACTTGCGAAATATTATTTTAGCACCGTCTTCAGCCATCTCAGAAGTGAGGACCTAGTCTGAATTATTCGTTTGCAATGAGAAGTTTTCAAGCCTAATAGCAGGGTATATATTGCACATACCCGATAGTTATACTCTTGGATCCTCCACGCAGGTTTGCAGGATTTGATGTCATGACTATTGCCAACAATCACTTGAACGATTTAGGCGGTGTAGGAGCCAATTTTACCACTGAAGTCCTGGAAAAGACGGGTATAAAGTATTTTGGAATAAGTTTGGGAAAATATGACTCCTCTCAGGTACACTAACGAATTGTTTTAAACCCCGTTTTCCTGGAAACAAGATGAAAGAATATTTAGCGAAAGCATGGAGATTTAATCTCAAACTAATACAACTATGTTACATGTGTTTAACATTTTAGACATTTTTGCTAAGCTTTCAATATTGAATAAATACCGTGTGACCTGGATATTATTAATAACCGAATGGATTTGTGAACAGCAAGGGAGCGTCTAGAAGAGTGCTGCAAATCTTTCCAACGAGACGTATACTGTGTAACCATCACAGTTAATGATTATTTACCCGACAGGGTTTAGGAAGGTTTCATAACTGTCGGTCGGCTTAACGGGCGATTCACAATTTATCAATTTAGACAGGTGTACTGTAGCTTATTTGCAACATTTGGGTACTCTTAGGGCCAGTACACATTGAGGCCAGGGAGAGGTTGTTAGCGCGCTTGCAAATGTAACGTGAACGCAACCTTGGCTAGGTGGGTTACTGCATCTTGAGAAGTTTGAGGAAAATTGGGAATGCCTTTGACAGGGTTACCCTCCACAGCAGACCGGGTAATCCGGCTAGGCGGGTTTCTCCAGTTACTATGTAAACATGATCAAGATAAAATAAGAGGTTATATATATGAACAGACAGGTCATCTGACCTACCTAGGGTCCTTCATCTCAATATAAACAAGCCCATATTAAATTCCATACAGCAGTATCTCCCGATGTTAACGTTACATTTACTCCTGTTAGATCTTAACAGATACATCTTAAACCAGTTTTGAGCTGATATCAATATTTTTGTTGTCATTTTTTAGGAACCTCTCATTATTAAAAGAGAAAGAATCACTATAGCATTCCTCGGTTATTGTGCAATACCCTCCACAAAGAAAAACTGCAGCGAAATGAGGAAGTTGTTCAACTCGGGTCCCGCCATTTATCAAGATGATATCGCTACTAGAGACATCAGGAGGCTAAAGAAGGTTTTACTCAAATTTAATAGTATTATGATTATCAGGGCAGTTTTTAATTGAGTGTCGAAACTAATCCAGGATTACTCTGGTTTTGCTTTACTTCGCTTTGTGATTGGTCCAGAAAATTTGCGCATAGTAATTATGATAATATCGATAATGATGATAATAATAATAATAATAAAAATAATAATAATGAGATGTAGCAGTGGACATTCCACGAGGTAGCTTTCTTGTCCACTGTTTCGTTGTCGAATTGGAATTTAGAATGTTGATATTGTGGAGGAAGGAAAACCGGAGGACCTGGAGATAAGCCCTCGGATCAGGGTGAAAACCAAAGACAAACTCAAGTCAGTGTGACAATCTTCACCATACTGCGCCATCCCTGCTCCCCGAAACAATTTATTCATAATCCACTTCGAGTTTTAACTTGATTTCTGTGCATTTCATATCATCATCTTTTATTTGAATACAATAAGGATCTATCCTTCTAGTCATTCTATAACACGCGTATTGTATAGTTATACTTTACCTCATTTTTTGTTTTTTGTTTTTTGTTTTACTTCCATAGGCCAAAGTTGACATTATAGTCGCTTTCATGCACTATGGTGAAGAGCTCACTTTAGGACCCGTCTCCTCCCAAAAGCACATAAACAAACACCTGATGTCTCTTGGGGTGGATATGATCATTGGAGCTCATCCACACGTTCTTCAGGATCACTGTCTTCGAGATGATAAACTTATCGCTTACAGCTTGGGGAATTTTCTTTTCCATACTAACCAACCACCAAGTGCTGTTGATCCGGTAACGCATTCATATGGTTCAACCAGTGACTACAAGTACCTATTGACTGAATGGAAAGACCGAGTGGGAAAATATTTGGGTGGTTGACACGACGTAAACGCCTCGCCATGCCCGATCCTTACGACCTCTCCCCAAAATATTTCAGTCTTTCTCGAGTATGGGAAAAGAAAAAAATATTAAACGTCTCGTGTAATGATTCGAAAGTCGGACGTTCCTATTTAACACCGAACATCCAAATGAAAGGAAGGGAATTCTTCGGCAAGCCAGGCCATACTAAGTTCATATTTGGCAAACTAGCTTCGAGGATACTGCTTAGATCGGCAATATAGAAAGGGGCTTTTTTCATGCAAAGATGTAGTAAGCAAGATGAAAGGTTTTAAACTCGCTTTTGGGATAAATATTTGAAGAGATACGTTTTACCTCTACCTACTGCTATATTCCAAAGAAAATTACTCTTTCAACATCATACATAATTTATCATTTCCTCGCGTTCATTTCCCTTTTTTTCATACTTCTCTTTTTCCGTTTTCTTCAATTTTTTTGTTTTTTTTTCTTTTTTGTACTTGTATGTTTATCGTTTATTTTCCTCGCTCCTACTTAGTTTGTTTTTGCAGGCTTGACTTAATCCTCTGACGGTACTTCCAAGTTTCTATATCCATGTTCAATTTGTTTTTCAGAACGTTTACGGAATGTTTGGCAAGAAACCCAATAAACAATTAATTAAGAAATATGAGCACTTTGTCCTTGGGAACTGCGACGCGTTGAAACTATCCCGGATGCTTAAAGTCACCGTTTCAAGGTATAGTACCACTTTGCATCTTATTTTCCAGGGCTTCTTTAAACCACAATCAAATTTTTCATCTTCAAGCATCAACTTAAACAAAAAGAAAGCGGTGGTTTGGCATCTGAAAGATGCATTAATGTTAGCTGCTATGATACCTTTGTCCATGAAGAGAAATCTGAAGAATACGTGTAGGGATTAAAGAGTGATACAGGAAGAGTGAGATAGTTATGAAAAATGTGAATGGTTGGTCATTATTGAAAGGCGGATATGACTGACATTCGAGTGTCAAAGAAGTTCTTTGGATGTTTCACTTAACCAGTCTGTAAACTGTTGTCAGCTATAGGCAGTGAAAAGAATCATCAATCGTTGATCGGACATTATTTGAGTATTTTGGGTCCGAAGGAAACAAATAACGTTTTGGTTAATAGGGTCGTTTCAGTTAAAAAAGTGCCAAAACTTACTTTTAAGTAGTATAACAGGGCTTTTTTTTAATCGAGTGTCAAATTCGTGAATACATGTACAGAACAAACTTATTTTTTGGTGATACAGAAAAATATAAAGGTAATAAAGATATCATACAAAGAAAAAAAATTGTCTGAAAACGAGAGAATACAAATAGTTGATATTCTTTTGCTGAAAACTGGCAAATGGATCTGGAACAATAGCTGAGATGTCATATGAGACAGCAGTACTCTGGATGTCTTTGTACATCTAACTGAAACAGCGTGTTTTCAAAAACAGCGATATTTTTAAATGAGACTTTCTAGCGATTTTGATCGGAATAATCAGTTACAAGCAATCATTTTCAATAAGGAGAAAATAGTTTGTATATTTTCAATTTCTTTCAGTTTCATTCAATCATCTCTCTTTATAGGAAAGGAGTCGTGGGAGCAAAGTATCTTCCACTGAAAGTCGCTTTCGATGAAGAAAATAAGCGACTGCACCCTGAACCCACAAAGAACGCAAAATGGATCACTGTATGCGGAGCTGAAGATCAACACTGTAAATGTCTCAAGAATTAGGATCAAATCTCTCTGAAAGAAGTCAATCTAAAAACACTTCAACTTCTAAATAGTATTTAAAACAAATTTCTTACCTAACAATATGATATTTTATTTCATCTTCAAAAATACATTTTACATGGTGCGAAAAGCTGATGAAGTGTCGGCAGTTTACTAGCTATATCAAACACGCGTAAATAATTAGAGCTATTTTACAATAATGGTTTTTTCTAAGTCCTCGTTAAACACCTTGTAAAACACCACATTTTATGCAATAAAGTATAGTTAAATTCTCTATGTTCTTTGTCATCGACCTTGACAATGCAACCTCTCTCCTTTCATAGGGAAGAAATATAACCCTATGAGTAATTAACTAATTATATATAAGGCGCTTGCTAGCTACTTTTCTGGTCGCAATGATCTCGTTGCGACATTGGCATTTATCGTCCTCAGCTCCACAGACTTCAATCCATTGAGCATTCTTTTCAGGCTCAGGGTGAAGTCTTTTGGTTTTGTGATTAAATTTGATTCTAAGAGGCAAATACTTTGCATTAACCACACCTTTCCTACGACATGAAAATAAAGGACATTATTTTAAAATTAGTGAAAAAAAAAATGAATTGAGCCACATTTTCCGGTAAGAAGTCTATTTCTTAGGAAAACAATTATTTTATTGAAGCCCTGTTTGAAAACAATTAATTAAATGATGAATAATAAACAGCTGTGACTTGTACCTTGAAACGTTGACTTTGAGCATCCGGGAAATTCTTAAGTCGTTGCTATTTCCAAAGGCGTAATGCTCGTAGGACTCAATATCAACTTCACTCGGCTTTTTGCCAAAACCTCCATACACAATCTTCGAGAAAAAAAGGGAGCAATGCATCAATTGACGGGCAGGAAGGGAAAAATGTTTTGCTTGCTAAGAAAGTAATGAACAAACCAATTAGAAATCAGGGATCCGACCTTCCGACCCTCCCCAGGGAGGGGAGGGTCGGAGGATTTTGTCGTGTCACCATATCACAATAAAATTTACCAGAGGCCCCTGAGATTCTTTAATATCCTTATGGTAACCCCCTCCCCACCTCTCGTCGTTAGCAGGTAATTGCTAGTCAATGTTATATAGTACGCCCTTTTGTACTCTGTTAGCGACGGCTGATAGCCCCTCCCTTCCCCTCTAAAATCCATGTGATCCTAAACCTCCCCCTTAGGTGATAAATAGTAGCTGGTCCACAAATAATTTATGAAATAAGATGCAGGATGGCTATAGGTGGGAATAGAATAATAAAAATATACATGAATTAAAACACAAGAAGAAAAAAGAAAGAAAGGGAGGAAAAGAATTAGTAAACAGGTTGAACGGATAAATACGTAACTGGATTGCTTCCCCGTCTATAAGGACACGGATGAAATAGGAAATTCCCCAAGCTGTCTTCAATAAGCTTGTTATGTTTGACACAATGTCCCTGTACCACGTGCGGATGGGCTCCAATGATTATATCCACGCCGAGAGACAGCAGGTGTTTGTTGATATCAATCTGGTAGGGGAGTGGTCTTAATCCCGTTTCCATTCCATAATGCATGAATACAACTATGATGTCAACTTTAGCCTTTGAAAAAAATAGAGTAGCGATGTTGAAATTGTAGGTTTTTATAATCCATCAAATAGTTTTGCTCGCACGTGACTGATCTAAACGCATCACATGATCGAATATACCCCGGATAAAACTGGGAAACATCTGAGGATATACCCTAAGTAACATTCCCCAATTCTGAAACCTTACGTCTACTATGATGAAAGCATTCGTTTCAAATTTAAATCAAAATGAATGAGCGTTTAACTCTTTTCCCAGAAAAGCGACATATTTGAATGTTCGAAAAGTCGTACTGTACTACACTGAAAAGTTCCCACACGTTGCAGAAACATTTGAAACATAATAAACAGAATAGCTTATATTTGGAGCGAAAATGTGTTCTTAAATATTTTTCTTTGGACATTATCTGTTCATCGAGACTTACTCGGAATAGATAGCAGGCGCGGACAAATACCCGAGTGCATTTTCGAGCTAAAAGGAAGCTATTGTTTATATAATTTTAGCCTCCCGCTTACCAGAAAGGTCCTCGCGAATAGCTACTTGAGATGTATTTTTCGAGGCTAATGCACCGCCAAAATTAACCCGCACACAAACTTACTTGAGTCATTATGGAAAAAATGGAAATCAAATCATTTTGACTTCGTCGATTAATAAATCACCATTTATGGTAGAGTTCTAAGTTCTAGATAACCACAAATTGGACTGGTGAGAACGTCTTAAAAGCTGGAATTATTTATGTTAAGTTTATCTTTAGCACTGCGGTTAAAACCTTTAACTTGTTAACGTCCCTTGTGGCAACGTCATCTCGATAAATGGCAGGACCAGAAGTAAACAACATTCTCATTTGAGAGCAATTCTTAAGAGGCGATCGCATGTCGCAGTAACCGAGAAATCCAAAAGTGATTCCTTTCCTTTTCATAATGAGTGGTTCCTAAAGAAATGGAAAATTGAAACCAATCAACAAGTTACGTGAAAAGTTGCCAATACGAGTTTCTAGGGGTAGATAGTGGATAGGATAATCTTAAACTGTATGATTCGAGTTTTCAGACTGACAAGAAGAATATGGTGTAACAGACAGAAATTTAAAGCCAGTTATTTTCTATGTACCTGAGAGGAAAGATAGTCGCCAAAACTTATCCCAAAGTATGGTATTCCTGTCTCTTTAAGTACTTCCGCAGTAAAATTGGCTCCTTCGGCTCCAAAATCGTTTAAATGATTATTGGCGAGAGTTACAGCATTAAATCCTGCAAAACTACAGGACGAACAAACTGTCAAGACTACGTGCACTTAAGAACAGTTGTAAACTGACTCAACTACAACTTTAGCCAAAACGGTATGATTTTTTTTTTTTTTTAATGTGAGAACTTTTATTAGGGGTAGGTGTTATTGAGCAAAATTTTAAAAAATAAGCAAGCTGTCACAGTCGTGAAATTCGTCCCTCTGAACCGATTATAGCAGAATACTGGTGGAGTTATACGACACGGACGACGTTACTATCGAGTCTTTTATAACTCCCCAAATAGCTGGTAAAAAGAAAATAACCACAAAAATGTTTCATTTTTCCAGTGAGTAATTTTGTGTCATTTTGGGTTAACCGTAATCGTAAAAGCTATCACCCCATTGAGACCCTCCATTACGCGTCGATATATGCGTGAGGTCAAGATGGCTGGAAATTGACTGAGTTCTTTTTTTGCGTTATTATGAACCGAGAGGAAGTCGAGGTCTATAAAACACAACAAAAGAACGATGGGCAAATCTTTCCCGCTGAGATAGCCAATTAGAACGCAGGATTTGCTTCATATTTTTCTTGGGCACTGTCAGCGATATTGTAACAAAGCTATAATAACCACATTACAAAGGTTGATAGAGCAAGGAGCCAATAAAAACGGTATTAATAACAAGAAGCGCGGTAAAACGTTAATATACAACTCGCGACTGATATAGCAAGTAGAGACGGTTTCCCATTAATACGATAAAGTGAAGTGAAGCCAATTTAATATCAGATTACTTTCAACAATTCTAATTAGCTTGTGTCACGATAAAATTTATCTGATCCATCATGAGGCTCTATAATATTCTTATGAATGGCCACCCTTTCCTATACTTTGTTGGCGACGACTGATTTGTTCCCCGTTTCCCCTGAAAACAATGACAAGAGAGAGTAATTTGATCCTCTCTTGATGTAAATACTGGTCTCTTACTTAAAAATATTTCTATAAGCGTCGTCCGGCGAGGGATTTATGGTAAATTCATCTCGTATACCTCAGCGATGATGCAGCATCCTTGTTAGCACTGAGTAAAACTGTCTTTTCACCTCTGAACATGTGGGTATAAACATCTCCGTTGACGAATGGAGATTCCAAATTACACACAGATATATCAGCATCTCTGATATATGGAGCCACTTCATTGAAAGAGTCATTGTATGTGTAACGCTTACGCTCCACGTAATATTTGACCGGGCCAGCGAAATAAATATCTCCCACGAAAATCAAGGATACATGCTCTGCAAATAAGAAAGGACGAAAAAATGCTTAGCCTTATTAAGGCCGCTTATCGATACTAATAAGACAAGAGTGAAACCCTAAAAGGCTTCAAGGGAAATTTGAATTTGTACGCGTTAAGAACAAGGCTTTGTACTATGTCTAGGGTATAGTTACAGAAATTATTTGACTGATATCCGGTGAAGATCGATTTTGGTCGAGATGAGCGCTCGGTCTGTTTTAGAAAGGGTGCGATTCATCAGAGTTATCGATTCTATGTCAATCCATGGTTTGGTGATTCATGGGCGAGTAAACAGTTTTCTGAAAGACTTCCATTGTGCGTTAAATAAATTTAGTGATAACTGAATTATTTGGAATTACAATTAATGTTTAGTCCGAATACTAAATTGTTGGTCAGGAGCACGTTTTTAGAGTTTGGTTACTAAAATTATGTCCGTGTGTCTTACCTTTATTCCCGATAACTACACTTGGTAAGGAGATTGCCAAAAAGATGACTACAATATTCATGACACGATTATTTTAAAATCAGGCCGGAAATGTAAAATGTTGTACTTCTGACGCTGATCGAGCAGTAGTGCCCGTTTTCTGTGAAGAATTACACTACAGTCTTGACGAGGAAGAGATTCGGGATTTCGAGATTTTACCACTGGATGTGATGGACAGCTTTTGGAAATGTGACATTGGATGCATCAACATTGACTGTGTTGATTTTCACCAGTTAGCAACTAGCCAACAGGCTTCCACCTCGCTCTCACGGAAAAAGAACTCTAAAAACCGAAGCAAGAACCGAGCAAAATATGTCAAAGGGTCTGCCCCTGGTTTTGGTTCATCAGGTAAAATATCATCAAGAGAGAACAACCAGACACCTGCAAGGTATAACCCGCGTAAAGGTTCCAAGCAACGGAGGGAAACGGTCGCATTAGAGCTAATTTTTTTAGCCGCTATTTTAGTGGAAGGCTTAGCGATGTCAGATAGCAATGTTCCGGTTGGTGAAAATATGTGGGGCGACCGTATTCTAAGGAGCTGGAGTCACTCGGGCGAAATTATCCAACTGGATGACTACACAGGACGAAATTGCAAGAATCCGTAAACGGAAACGTGGCGGAAACATGCAACTCCATGTTTCCGTTATGTTTACGTAAAAGTGGTCCGGTTCCGTTGTATACGCAGCAACGGAAACGCGAGAAAACGTCACGAAACCGGTAACGGAAACACAGGTTATCCGTCGTGTTTCCGGAACGGTTTAACACGTTTCTGCCACGTTTCCGTTTACGGATTCTTGCAATTTCGTCCTGTGCTAGCTAAAAGTTTAACATGCGATAACAGGTACTTGTAAAGAAAACGGCAGGTGTCAGTCACCTGTACGGACAGGTAGTCAAAAACCGAAAATGCCATCAAACGTTAATCACCAAGAAGAAAATATTCCAGTTTTCAACTGAGAATTGGAAAGTAATCATAAATCGTAATTTTATCCCGTCATTGCTCTCTTTTCTTGACGTAAGATAGGAACCAAACAATCAGAAACAGTTCACAGCTAAGTCTATTTGCGACTTTCTCCCGCAATTAAGATTTGCATAATTTATTTCCGTTTTGATGTAAATAGCTCCTTTGACTGGTCCGTTGACTGATCGAAAGTTGTGCCGGACAACTTTCGCCGATGTTTCACCTAACTCCTCTGGTAAACTCGCTTTATTTCACGAGGCAAACTCGGAAAGATGGCTGAAACTTCCAATGGGGTGAAAACTACACATTCCAAAAGCAAAGCGCTCTAAAAGAAACCTTGTTCGTTGCTCGTAGGGTTGCTCATAATGATATCTTACTTTTTTAAAATAGATTTTCTTCTTAAGTTAGATTTTTAGGTTCATCATATTTCCACAGCAAAACCTTTTCATAGCGATTTCAGGGTGTTACGTGAATGACAATGACAACTCAGGGTTTAGCTTCACAAACACCGTTTTTTTTTTTTTTTTTTTTTTTTTTTGTCTACACATGATTTTGATGAAATTACAATATGATTTTTTTATGAATCTACCGATCGTTCCTTAACGAATGATACGATTAGCAACAACACTCGCTATATATTCCACGACCGAAGTGAGAAAAAGATTTTATGGTATCTCCTGGTGAGCAAAGTAAGTAGATTGACTGTCATCCGCTATTTCACGGGGGTTTCCTTTTTTGTTTTTATTATTTCTCTTCATTCATATTATGACAGGTTTCTAGGAATAACACAATACATTTTAAAAATAGTACGAAATCTCGAAAATCTGAATCTACATGCTTGATAGTTGATTTGGGCGTCGCCATTATCAACAATCACGCGAAAGAAATCTCGAAACTGAATGTTATTGTTATATTTATTGTAATATCAACCTATTTGCCTCCTTTGAACATTTTAGGTGAAGTTATATTACTGTTCGTGGGAGATATTTCCTTTGCTGGCCCCATCAAATACTATGTTGACCACAAGTACCATACGTACAATGATACTTTCAATGACGTGGCTCCATTCATCAGAGAGGCGGACATTTCAGTGGGTAATTTGGAGTCGCCATTTGCCAACCAACATGTTCTTAATCACCTTTACCGAGGGAGAAAATCAGTTTTGCTATATGCCATTCCTAAAGCTGCATCAGCGCTCAGGTGAAAATCATAACGGAAACTAGTAAAGTTTAAATTTACAAAAGGAAGAAATCGTTTTTAAAGAGGCCTCCACTGTCAGAACAAGCTTCCGTTAAACTGCATGGAAAATTTCTTGCGTTACGAAGATTCTAGGAAAAATTTGTGAAACAAGAATATATGGGAAAGTAAGAAAATTAGAAAGGAATACAAACAAAATGATATTTGAATTTCCCGTAACACGGCTGCCACTTTTATCATCAGACGCTGAATAATTCTTTTATGTCCTATAAGGGCACATCATCCAAAATGGCGGCGCGTATAAAATTCCAGCTTAAATAGAACCCGTACCTTTTTTATGTCAACAGAGTTTATCTCCAAAGTTTGTTTTTTTTATAATTTAAGGACGATTTGTTCTACAGTGGAGTTTTCCTTAGAGGGTGCAGAATTTTGTAATTTCATTCTACTATGAAAGTGTGGGGTAATGCATTTGAGCTCCTCTTTTCGTTCGAGCTGCATTAAACCAACATCCAACCCATTTGTGCCGTAAGTAAACCGTTCAACGATATAAAGAGAGTCTAAAGCTGACGAGCGTAAGTTTTTAGTTATTCCCTCTGACAACGCTCAGCTTTATAAAATCTTTACGGCGGCCAATTAACATCGTCAACTCAGTCGATCAAACCAAATCATCTTGCTATATCCTGTCACAGACAAAGCAGCGCAGTTTCTTTAGAAATTTACCCCCTTTATTCATTTTTAATAACATTCAATGACTGTGAATAAAATTATATGAAAATCATATATGTGAGCTGCGGTTTTTACACTACTTAAGAAGTGGTGAAAATAAGGCCTGTGCGGGATTTGAAAATTTATTTTCGGTATTTGAAATTTCTGTTCGCCTTATTTTCACTACTGCTTAAGTAGTGTTCATCACTGCCAAGATCGCCTTCACATTCAGTATCGATTCTTTTCATTTGTCTGTTCTACGACAATCTCGAGATGAGCAACAGCTGGAAGAAATGATTCTATGTTCAAAATAACATTTGAATCTAAGACTGATCTGAGATCATTATCGTAAGGTTTGCATTACATCAGTTAAAAAAATAAAACAAAACAAACGATATCAAAAAATTAATAAATAAACAGGTGCAAATACATTGATTCCGCCCGCCTATTGCTTGGCCTGAAGTGAATCTGATCAATACTAATTAAGTAAATCCCAAACTGAATTTTAAAAAAATATAGAAACAAATTTCATTAATACGATAAAAGAATTTCATAACATGGAAGAATATGAAAGTAACTTGCGAAATATTATTTTAGCACCGTTTTCAGCCATCTCAGAAGTGAGGACCTAGTCTGAATTATTCGTTTGCAATGAGAAGTTTTCAAGCCTAATAGCAGGGTATATATTGCACATACCCGATAGTTATACTCTTGGATCCTCCACGCAGGTTTGCAGGATTTGATGTCATGACTATTGCCAACAATCACTTGAACGATTTAGGCGGTGTAGGAGCCAATTTTACCACTGAAGTCCTGGAAAAGACGGGTATAAAGTATTTTGGAATAAGTTTGGGAAAATATGACTCCTCTCAGGTACACTAACGAATTGTTTTAAACCCCGTTTTCCTGGAAACGAGATGAAAGAATATTTAGCGAAAGCATGGAGATTTAATCTCAAACTAATACAACTATGTTACATGTGTTTAACATTTTAGATATTTTTGCTAAGCTTTCAATGTTGAATAAATATCGTGTGACCTGGATATTATTAATAACCGAATGGATTTGTGAACAGTAAGGGAGCGTCTAGAAGAGTGCTGCAAATCTTTCCAACGAGACGTATACTGTGTAACCATCACAGTTAATGATTATTTACCCGACAGGGTTGAGGAAGGTGTCATAACTGTCGGTCGGCTTAACGGGCGATTCACAATTTATCAATTTAGACAGGTGTACTGTAGCTTATTTGCAACATTTGGGTACTCTTAGGGCCAGTACACATTGAGGCCAGGGAGAGGTTGTTAGCGCGCTTGCAAATGTAACGTGAACGCAACCTTGGCTAGGTGGGTTACTGAATCTTGAGAAGTTTGAGGAAAATTGGGAATGCCTTTGACAGGGTTACCTTCCCCAGCAGACCGGGTAATCCGGCTAAGCGGGTTTCTCCAGTTACTATGTAAACATGATCAAGATAAAATAAGAGGTTATATATATGAACAGACAGGTCATCTGACCTACCAAGGGTCCTCCACCTCAATATAAACAAGCCCATATTAAATTCCATACATCAGTATCTCCCGCTGTTAACGTTACATTTATTCCTGTTAGATCTTAACAGATACATCTTAAACCAGTTTTAAGCTGATATCAATATTTTTGTTGTCATTTTTTAGGAACCTCTCATTATTAAAAGAGACAGAATCACTATAGCATTCCTCGGTTATTGTGCAATACCCTCCACAAAGAAAAACTGCAGCGAAATGAGGAAGTTGTTCAACTCGGGTCCCGCCATTTATCACGATGATATCGCTACTAGAGACATCAGGAGGCTAAAGAAGGTTTTACTCAAATTTAATAGCTTTATGATTATCAGGGTAGTTTTTAATTGAGTGTCGAAACTGATCCAGGATTACTCTGGTTTTGCTTTACTTCGCTTTGTGATTGGTCCAGAAAATTTGCGCCTCCTTTTAACCGACGAGACTCAACTTAAACCAATCATGATTTCGTTATCAGCATTTACCTGCGTTTCATGCAGGTTACCTGTTTATACTTTGTGTTCTCGTTAGGTAATAATGATGTTGAACATCGCTCATATTGACTGTTGTGATACCTTTGGTTTTAGTAATCCGAAACTCAACTGAAAACTACACTAACTGAAAGTTAAGAAATAATTTATTCATCTTTTTGTACGTAGAAGGGAAAAGGCTTAGAATTATAAATGACAGAATTTTCTTCTTAAGCCAGCTTAACGTAGCATTTAGGTAAAGAATGAGTTGCTATTCAAATTGTGAAAAACTGTAAACAAGAAGAAAATGCCATCTTCTGCGTGATAGAACCTGCGCCTATAATTACTAATTGGACGTTGTTACCAACCTGGCCGAACTAAGGTAGCCACGTATTAGGAATGAGATGATCTTTGGTTGGCTTGCAAATTTAACCTGTGCGGCTAAAAACATAGTAATAATGATAATATCGATAATGATGATAATAATAATAATAATAATAATAATAATAATAATAATGAGATATAGCAGTGGACATTCCACGAGGTAGCTTTCTTGTCCACTGTTTCCTTGTCGAATTGGAATTTAGAATGTTGATATTGTGGAGGAAGGAAAACCGGAGGACCTGGAGAAAAGCCCTCGGATCAGGGTGAAAACCAAAGACAAACTCAAGTCAGTGTGACAATCTTCACCATACTGCGCCATCCCTGCTCCCCGAAACAGTTTATTCATAATCCACTTCGAGTTTTAACTTGATTTCTGTGCATTTCATATCATCATCTTTTATTTGAATACAATAAGAATCTATCCTTCTAGTCATTCTATAACACGCGTATTGTATAGTTATGCTATACCTCATTTTTTTTTTGTTTTCTGTTTTACTTCCATAGGCCAAAGTTGACATTATAGTCGCTTTCATGCACTATGGTCTCCTCCCAAAAGCACATAAACAAACACCTGATGTCTTTTGGGGTGGATATGATCATTGGAGGTCATCAGCTTGGGGAATTTTCTTTTTCATACTAACCAACCACCAAGTGCTGTTGATCCGGTAACGCATTCATATGGTTCAACCAGTGACTACAAGTACCTATTGACTGAATGGAAAGACCGAGTGGGAAAATATTTGGGTGGTTGACACGACGTAAACACCTCGCCATGCCCGATCCTTACGACCTCTCCCCAAAATATTTCAGTCTTTCTCGAGTATGGGAAAAGAAAAAAATATTAAACGTCTCGTGTAATGATTCGAAAGTCGGACGTTCCTATTTAACACCGAACATCCAAATGAAAGGAAGGGAATTCTTCGGCAAGCCAGCCCATACTAAGTTCATATTTGGCAAACTAGCTTCGAGGATATTGCTTAGATCGGCAATATAGAAAGGGGCTTTTTTCATGCAAAGACGTAGTAAGCAAGGTGAAAGGTTTTAAACTCGCTTTTGGGATAAATATTTGAAGAGATACGTTTTACCTCTACCTACTGCTATATTCCAAAGAAAATTACTCTTTCAATATCATACATAATTTATCATTTCCTCGCGTTCATTTCCCTTTTTTTCATTTTTTTCAGACAAAAAAAATTGTCTGAAAACGAGAGAATATGAATAGTTGATATTCTTTTGATGAAAACTGGCAAATGGATCTGGAACAATAGCTGAGATGTAATATGAGACAGCAGTACTCTGGATGTCTATGTACATCTCATTGAAACAGCGTGTTTTCAAAAACAGCGATATTTTTAAATGAGACTTTCTCGCGATTTTGATCGGAATAATCAGTTACAAGCAATCATTTTCAATAAGGAGAAAATAGTTTGTATATTTTCAATTTCTTTCAGTTTCATTCAATCATCTCTCTTTATAGGAAAGGAGTCGTGGGAGCAAAGTATCTTCCACTGAAAGTCGCTTTCGATGAAGAAAATAAGCGACTGCACCCTGAACCCACAAAGAACGCAAAATGGATCACTGTATGCGGAGCTGAAGATCAACACTGTAAATGTCTCAAGAATTAGGATCAAATCTCTCTGAAAGAAGTCAATCTCTCTGAAAGAAGTCAATCTAAAAACACTTCAACTTCTAAATAGTATTTAAAACAAATTTCTTACCTAACAATATGATATTTTATTTCATCTTCAAAAATACATTTTACATGGTGCGAAAAGCTGAACATTTTTCCCTTCCTGCTAGTCAATTGATGCATTGCTCCCTTTTTTTCTCGAAGATTGTGTATGGAGGTTTTGGCAAAAAGCCGAGTGAAGTTGATATTGAGTCCTACGAGCATTACGCCTTTGGAAATAGCAACGACTTAAGAATTTCCCGGATGCTCAAAGTCAACGTTTCAAGGTACAAGTCACAGCTGTTTATTATTCATCATTTGATTAATTGTTTTCAAACAGGGCTTCAATGAAAGAATGCTTTTCTTAGAGATAGACTTCTTACTGGAAAATGTAGTTCAATTCATTTTTTTTCACTAATTTTTAAAATAATGTTCTTTATTTTCATGTCACAGGAAAGGTGTGGTTAATGCAAAGTATTTGCCTCTTAGAATCAAATTTAATCACAAAACCAAAAGACTTCACCCTGAGCCTGAAAAGAATGCTCAATAGATTGAAGTCTGTGGAGCTAAGGACGATAAATGCCAATGTCGTAGCGAGATCATTGCGACCAGAAAAGTAACCAGCAAGCGCCTTATACATAATTAGTTAATTACTCATAGGGTTATATTTCTTCCCTATGAATAGAGAGGTTGCATTGTCAAGGTCGATGACAAAGAACATAGAGAAATTAACTATACTTTATTATATAAAATGTGGTGTTTTTACAAGGTGTTTTACGAGGACTTAGAAAAAAACCGTTATTGTAAAATAGCTCTAATTTTTACGCGTGTTTGATATCGCCAATAAACTGCCGACGCTTCATCAGCTTTTCGCGCCGAGTAAAATGTATTTTTGAAGATGAAATAAACTATCATATTGTTAGGTACGAAATTTGTTGAAGTTGAAGTGTTTTTAGATTGACTTCTTTCAGAGAGATTTGATCCTAATTCTTGAGACATTTACAGTGTTGATCTTCAGCTCCGCATACAGTGATCCATTTTGCGTTCTTTGTGGGTTCAGGATGCAGTCGCTTATTTTCTTCATCGAAGGCGACTTTCAGTGGAAGATACTTTGCTCCCACGACTCCTTTCCTATAAAGAGAGATGATTGAATGAAACTGAAAGAAATTGAAAATATACAAACTATTTTCTCCTTATTGAAAATGATTGCTTGTAACTGATTATTCCGATCAAAATCGCGAGAAAGTCTCATTTAAAAATATCGCTGTTTTTGAAAACACGCTGTTTCAATGAGATGTACATAGACATCCAGAGTACTGCTGTCTCATATTACATCTCAGCTATTGTTCCAGATCCATTTGCCAGTTTTCATCTAAAGAATATCAACTATTCATATTCTCTCGTTTTCAGACAATTTTTTTTCTTTGTATGATATCTTTATTACCTTTATATTTTTCGGTATCACAAAAAAACTAGTTTGTTCTGTGCATGTATTCACGAATTTGACACTCGATTCAAAAAAAGCCCTGTCATATTACTTAAAAGTAAGTTTTGGCACTTTTTTAACTGAAACAACCCTATGAACCAAAACGTTATTTGTTTCCTTCGAATGCAATATACTCAAATAACGTCCGATCAACGAGTGATGATTCTTTTCACTGCCTATATCTGACAACAGCTTACAGACATAGACTGCTAAAGTGAAACATCCAAAGAACTTCTTTGACTCTCGAATGTCAATTCATATCCGCCTTTCAATAATGACTAACCATTTACCTTTTTCATGATTTTCTCACTCTTCCTATATCACTCTTTAATCCCTACACTTATTTTTCAGATTTCTCTTCATGGACAAAGGTTTCATAGCACCTAACATTAATGCACCTTTCAGATTTCAAACTACCGCTTTCTTTTTGTTTAAGTTAATGCTCGAAGATGAAAAATTTGATTGTGGTTTAAAGAAGCCATGGAAAATAAGATGCAAAGTAGCACTATACCTTGAAACGGTGACTTTAAGCATCCGGGATAGTTTCAACGCGTCGCAGTTCCCAAGGGCAAGCTGCTCATATTCCTGAATTAATTTTTTATTGGGTTTCTTGCCAAATCTTCCGTAAACGTTCTGAAAAGAAATTGAACATGGATATAGAAACTTGGAAGTACTGTTAGAGAATTTCGTCAAGCTTGCAAACACAAACCAAGTAGGAGCGAGGAAAATAAACGATAAACACACAAGTACGAAAAAAAAAGAAAAGAAAAGAAAACAGAAAGGGAGAAGTATGGAAAAAAGGGAAATGAACACGAAGAAATGACAAAATTATGGATGATTTTGAAAGAGCTATTCTCTTTGGAATATAGCAGTAGGTAGAGGTAAAACGTATGTCTTGAAATATTTATCCAAAAAGCGAGTTTAAAGCCTTTCTCCTTGATTACGACATCTTTACATGAAAAAAGCCGCTTTCTATATTGCCGATCTGAGCAGTATCCTCGAAGCTAGTTTCCCAAAAATGAACTTAGTATGGCCCGGCTTGCCGAAGAGTTCCCTTCCTTTCATTTGGATGTTCGGTGTTAAATAGGAACGTCTGAGTTTCGAATCATTACACGAGACTTTCATATTTTTTTCTTTTCCCATACTCGAGAAAGACTGAAATATTTGGGGAGAGGTCGTAAGGATCGAGCATGGCGAGGTGTTTACGTCAAGTCAACCACCCAAAAATTTCCCAAACGGCCTTTCCATTCAGTCAAGAGGTACTTGTAGTCACTAGTTGAACCATATGAATGCGTTACCGGATCAACAGCACTTGGTGGTTGGTTAGTATGAAAAAGAAAATTCCCCAAGCTGTAAGCGATAAGTTTATTATCATGAAGACAGTGATCCTGAAGAACGTGTGGATGAGTTCCAATGATCATATCCACCCCAAGAGACATCAGGTGTTTGTTTATGCGCTTTTGGGAGGGGAAGGGTTCTAAAGCGAGTTCTCTACCATAATGCATGAAAGCGACTATAATGTCAACTTTGGCCTGTGGAAGTAAAACAAATAAATAAATAAATAAGGTAAAGTACAACTAGTCAATAGGCATGTTATGGAATGACTAGAAGGATAGATCCTTATTGTATTCAAATAAAAGAGGATGATATGAAATGCATAGAAATCAAGTTAAAACTCGAAGTAGATGATAAATAAATTGTTTCGGGGAGCAGGGATGGCGCAGCATTAATAAGGAAGTAACATCTGACTTGAGTTTCTCGTTGGTTCTGTCCCTGAACCGAGGGTTTTTCTCCAGGTCCTCCGGTTTTCCTTCTTCCACAATATCAACATTCTGAATTCCAATTCGACAACGAAACAGTGGACAAGAAAGCTACCTCGTGGAATGTCGATATCATCATTATTACTATGGTTTTAGCCGCACAGGTTAAATTTGCAAGCCCACCAAAGATCCCAATACATGGCTACCTTAGTTCGGCCAGGTTATAACAACGTCCAACTAGTAACTATGGGCGCAGGTTCTAGGACGCAGAAGATGGCATTTTCTTCTCGTTTGGAGTTTATCTCAGTTTGAATAACAATTCATTCTTTACCTAAATGCTATTTTAAGCTGGCTTAAGAAGAAAATTATGTCATTCACAATTCTAAGCCTTTTCCCTTCTGCGTACAAAAAGATGAATAACAATTTTTTTTCCTCCCAGTTAGTGTAGTTTTCAGTTGAGTTTCGGATAACTAAAACCAAAGGTATCACAACAGCCAATATGAGCGATAGTAAACATCATCATTACCCAATGAGAACACAAAGTATAAACAGGCAACCTGCATGAAATGTAAGTAAACGCTGGTAACCAAATCATGATTGGTTTAAGTTGATAAGTTAGTTAAAAGGAGGCGCGAATTTTCTGGACCAACCACAAAGCGAAGTAAAGCAAAACCAGAGTAATCCTGGATCAGTTTCGACACTCAATTAAAAACCCCCCTGATAATCATAAAGCTATTAAACTTGAGTTAAACCTTCTTTAGCCTCCTGACGTCTCTAGTAGCGATATCATCTTCATAAATGGCAGGACCCGAGTTATACAACTTCCTTATTTCGCTGCAGTTTTTCTTTGCGGAGCGCGTTACACAATAACCGAGGAATGCCATTGTGATTCTGTCTCTTTTAATAATGAGAGGTTCCTAAAACATGACATCAAAAATATTGGTATCAGCTTAAAGCTGGTTTAAGATCTATCTGTTAAGATCTAGCTAAATGCAACGTTTACAGCGGAAGATACTGCTGTATGGAATTTAATATGGGCTTGTTTATATTGAGGTGGAGTACCCCGGGTAGGTCAGATAACACGCCTGTTCATATATATAACCTCTTATTTTATCTTGATCATAATTATATAATAACTGGAGAAACCTGTTAGCCGGGTTACCCGGTGTACCGTGGAAGGTAACCCTGTCATAGGCATTCACAATTTTTCCTATAAACGTCTCAAGATGGGGTAACCCGCCTAGCCAAGGTTGCGTTCACGTTATATTTGCAAGCGCGCTAACAACCTATCGGAACTTTACCCCGGGATCCCGTGGTTGTAAGATTGTATGTAAACATGATAAACATGGTCTATTTTTTTAAGCACGGCTAAGCAGTTTACCTCACCAACCTCAGGGATCCCTAGACTCAATGTAGACTGGCCCTAAGAGTACCCAAATGTTGCAACTAAGCTACAGTACACCTGTCTAAATTGATAAATTGTGAATCGCCCGTTAAGCCGACCAATAGTTATGACACCTTCCTCAACCCTGTCGGGTGAATAATTGTTAACTGTGATGGTTACACAGTATACTTCTCGTTGAAAAGATTTGCAGCTACCTCGCTGTAATCCATTCGTTTATTAAAAATATCCAGGTCACACGATATTAATACAACGTTGAAAGCTTAGCTAAGATGTCTAAAGTGTTAAACACGTTTATTTTCAAATAAAATAGTTGTATTGGTTTGAGATTAAATCTCCATGCTTTACCTAAATATTCTTTCATCTCGTTTCCAGGAAAATGGGGTTTAAAACAATTCGTTACTATACCTGAGAGGAGTCATATTTTCCGAAACTTATTCCAAAATACTTTATACCCGTCTTTTCCAGGACTTCAGCAGTAAAATTGGCTCCTACACCACCTAAATCGTTCAAGTGATTGTTGGCAATAGTCACGGCATCAAATCCTGCAAACCTGCTTGGAGGATACAAGAGTATAACTATCGGGTATGTGCAATATATACCCTGCTATTAGGCTTGAAAACTTCTCATTGCAAACAAATAATTCAGACCAGGTCCTGACTTCTGAGATGGCTGAAAACGGTGCTAAAAAAATATTTGGCAAGTTATCTTCATATTCTTCCTTGTTATGAAATTCTTTTATCGTATTGATGAAATTTTTTATTATATTTTTTTAATATCCAGGTTGGGATTTACTCAATTAGTATTGATCAGGTTCACTTCAAGACAAGCAATAGGTGGACGGAATCAATGTATTTGCGCCTGTTTGTTTGTTTCTAAATATTTTGATGTCGTTTCTTTTGTTTTATTTTTTAACTGATGTGATGCAAACCTTGCGATTATGATCTCAGCTCAATCTTAGATTCAAATGTTATTTTGTACATAGAATCATTTCTTCACGCTGTTGCTCATCTCGAGATTGTCGAAGAACAGACGATATGAAAAGAATCGATACTGTGAATATGAAGGCGATCTTCGCAGTGATGAACACTACTTAAGCAAGAGTGAAAATAAGGCCATCACCTGAGCGCTGATGCAGCTTTAGGAATGGCATATAGCAAAACTGTTTTTCTCCCTCGGTAAAGGTGAGTAAGAACATATTGGTTGGCAAATGGCGACTCCAAATTACCCACTGAAATGTCCGCCTCTCTGATGAAAGGAGCCACGTCATTGAAAGTATCATTGTACGTATGGTACTTGTGGTCAATAGTATTTGATGGGTTCAGAAAAGGAAATATCTCCCACGAAGAGTAATGTAACTTCATCTAAAATGTTCAAAGAAGGCAAATATCTTGATATTACAATAAATATATAACTTAAATAACGTTTGGTTTCGAGATTTCTGTCGCGTGATTGTTGATAAAATACACTAGGGTTTTTTAAAATTCCGTGCTATTTTTAAAATGCATTCTTGTTTATTTCTGCATGATTACATTTATGATAATAAGTAATGGTAATAGGACTGAGTGAAGTCCATTTCAGTTTGTATCCATACGAGTGATAACAAAATCAATAAATTCGTAAATACTTGTAATTCCTAGAAATCTGTTATAATATGAATGAAGAGAAATAATAAAAACAAAAAAAAAGTTAAACCTGGTCAAAAGCAGATAATAGTCAGTCCACTCACTTTGCTCATTACGAAAGACTATAAAATCTCTTGTTCACTTTCGGTCGTGGAATAGATAGCGAGTGTCGCTGATAATCAGATTGTACTATTTGTTGAGGAACCATGATCGGTATAGTTATAAAAAAAGTGATAAATACAGTACTAAGAAAAATGATGACATCTTAAAATACGACCATCAGCCTTGCTGGCCTCTTGTTCAAGGTGACTCAAAATGCTCTCGTTATTTCAACACACCAATTATTTGATGGATCATAGTTATTCCTGAATATTCCAAGAAATTATATCTAAAGAATTTTAAAACGAGTCGAGGAGCACCAATTTTGTAAGTGAATTAAAAAGTCATCTTTATGAGCATTTTTTAAAACATTTTGAAAATGAATCTGTACATGATGTTCGAAGCCAACTGAATTTTTTTTTATAAAGATTTGTGTACAGATTTTGGGCTTCGATTATTATAATCCAAGTTATTTACTATCCAATTTGAGATCGTACGAGAAACGTTTTGAAACGCTGCCATGCACCACATGAGCGATACGCGAAATAAACCTAAGGGAACAGTTTTTAAGAGCGACCGGTGATATTTCTTCGCTGATCAAAAGAAAGGACTGGAACGACTTTATAATTTGCTATAATTGGCTATAATTTGATCGTGTACAAGAGTTCAAAATTTGCGTGTATTTACCCGGTTACTTAAACCTACTAAATG